GCCGACACTTCGTCGTCAAGCTCTGGCCATTTCCACCTCCTTCCTCCGCCGACCTCGACGCATCACTCAAACTACAACTTCTCGCTCGGCGCCTCTCCAGTCTCCAAGATCTGCCCTCGCCATGGTACCGTCCTCTTTCCCGGCCTCTGAATCCAGTCCCCTCCTCCTCTACTCCCCTCCTGCATTTGCTGCCGTTCTTGGATGCAGGTCGCAGACTCGCAGGACGGACCCAAATAGGGGGGCCGAATGTTCCCTTAGAGTTCCCACGCTTGCTGATGCAGTGCTGCAAGTGCAAGCCTGCAACCTGACGGCTGAAGCAGTCACGCTCACGCAGAGGTGCGCTAGTGCCAGGTGCGGCGGGCCAGCAGGTCAGGAAACGCGCCCCCAGAGGCCAGGTCACGGGAGAGCGCGAGCCAATGTGGAACAATTGGTTGGTCGCTGCTGTCAATTGTTCAGCTTGCGGCTTGATTTCCTCTACTAGACTGTAGTGGTTTCATTTCCTCTTGAGTTTTAGGCCGGGATAAGCAAAGCTTTCCTTTTCACTGCAAATAAGTACTCCTAACCATTGAGAGGACAGATAGCTTCCATTTTCCGCATTTGTGTTGTGAGCATGTAGGCTGTAATAAATAAAGGCCAACCCTAACCCGCTTGACTCTGCTTTGTGCTACATTCGCCTCCTAACATGATGGTTGTCATTGTGACTTTTAATTACAGGATAGGGAAGCCAAGAAAGAAGCGTTCAGGAAGTATCTTGAATCCAGCGGCGTGCTTGATACCCTCACGAAAGGTTTGTGTTCCATCCACTGTGTGCCCCTGTAAACCACTAGAATTATGTATATGTAACTCGTTAGTTATATCTTCATCTCGTTGTGCAGTTCTTGTTGCGTTGTATGAGGGAGAACGATAAGCCTTCATCTGCAGTCGAGTAAGTTGACTCATGTATATCCACTAGTGGCTGAGATTTCCTTTTGCTTATTTCGTTCATGAAATGGCAATCTTGGTTCAGTGATCCTAAGCATTTTCCTGTAGCTTCTAACATGCTTGTATACCCTTAGATTTGTTCAGCAGAAGCTGGGTGGCCCATCGATTTCTGACTATGAAAAGCTCAAGGCAGAGAAGTTGGATTTGCAATTGAAGTATGATAAGCTTTTAGAAACCCACAAGGAAACATGCAGACAGGTATACAATGTTACTGTGTTGGCAATGTACACTACTCTGTCTATTTACATGGCATACTTAATATTCAGTAGCATTTGGTGTTACAACTTTCACCATTTTTTTTATGCTCGGCGCATATAGATCTCCACAGAAATGTCAAGTATGATTTAAGAAGTGTTAGTTGTTATGCTTACTGCTTGTTTGCAGTAATTCTACTTATTTCATGTTGAAACTCTTGCATTGCAATAATTCTGTCTTGAACTTAAGTGCTGGTAATGTTCTGAATTCCACTAGTCTGCATAATGTTCAGCTGTACCCAACTGGATGTGTTTGGATGTAGAAATGCCAATATACATTAAGAAAACTCCCATTTTCGTCACACTATGATCTGGCAAAATAATTTGCCCTGTAAGGCCATGTTCCTCTCCTCAAGTCGTCATTCTTGTCATCTTCTGTCCTGCTTTTATGCATAAAAATGTTAGTTAGACTGAAAGGTAAGTAGAATGTGTGGCAAGGAGTTGATATATTAAGCTAGATGGTATTTCTGAACCAGTTTATCCTGTGGATTTCTAAGTTCTAGTTAATTTTTTTGTGTTGTTTCCTCATATGACAGTTAGCATGTTAGACTCAGCAAAGTTCTATGCTTCCAGAAAAAAAAACAAGAAGAGAACTTGTATGTTCTGAGCACAAGATGGCATTCATCTGGACTGTATTTCAGTTATGGTTTCACAATTTTGTTGTGAATCCCAAGCAAATTTTGAATATGATTTCAACATAAATGAAACTGGCATTGATTGGTTGTGTATCACATTTTGCAGCTGGAGGAACTTAAGAACATGAAGTATGGTGCACCTTGGAACTGAAACGTATGTTGACATTGTAAATGTGTCATCAAGCATGTACTTTTACACCTCTGTCTGAAGCATTGCTAAGCTTTGTATACAATCGAAACATCTCTTACTGAATTCATGTATCCCATTTTAGCCATATGGATCCCTTTTGGATATGAAGGCACCCAACTCACTCCCGGTCCCGGATATTAGATATCACCAATGCAGGATGAAGGATGTGACAACTATCATATTTGAACCATGGGCAATTTTTGATAACTAACCATGAGCAATTGTTTAGCCAGTATCGACAAAGAGACTTAGAGTTTTCTTGGCATGCCTTGTAAATAAGATTTGGAGATTTCAGTGGAAGAGATATGGCGTGCAATGATACATGTCAAGATTGTTGGGAAATTTCGAATTGAAACATGCTCAAAGAAATATTATTTTGTGAGTAATGCTGAAGGAGATAATCGGATTAACCGATCCTCAATAGAAGTTTTTTTTACGATGCAAGAAAAAACAATGCTCCGCGTTTAGAAGAAAAAAATGTTCTAGATTCTAGATAACGGTCCAGATTTAAGAAAATGAAATTAAATGCTTAGAAGAATAATATTTTGCAATATGTGTCATTAGTATTAAAAGGAGAACATAAACCACCGAACATCACATGGGTAATGCACGAACAATCTAAAATACACTGTAGATATCTCATGGGTACCGTGTGAAAAAGTTCAAATACATCATGGCAGTGGAACATCACATTGATACCACATGAAGAACTCAAAATACATTATGAAACATCGCATATGTACTTTCTGAATATTACAAAATTACATCATTTATGAAACACGAATACTTAAAAAAATCAGAATACATTAGGCATGTTCTCTTCCATTTGCATGTTCTCTTGAGGTTCAGACCTACCAGGACCTCCCCCTGCTGCCTTCAAGCTATTAGGGAATGATGATCCAAGACTGGCAGGTAAGTAATTATTCCTGTATCTTTTGGCCGTCGTATAATATCTTACTCGTAGTTAAGTTAATATTTCAGCAGATGACAATATGAAAACATGATTATTAGAAAGGGCTAGTTCGTTTGGAGATAAGGTGACAGGTTCTGGCCTTCTGGGCGTGAATTACCAGCTAGGAATAGGATTCGGCCAGCATGTGTCTGATATGCCTACTATTCCAGTATCTGTTACGTTGTCGACCAAAGTTTTGTATCCCAGTCGACGTCTCGAATACTCAGGGGCGAAGCCAGCTCAAAATCGACCCTGGTGCACACTCTATCAACACATAAAGGAATGTATACATTTGAAAGGAAATATATGAAAATTTGAGGTAAATGTTAGTAAACTTCCATTTTTACCATGGTGCATGTGCACTAGGAAAGCAAACGTGGCTTTGGCAAATCCAATAGAGGAAGAATCGAGGCGAGAGGTGGAGAAGAGGGAGGACAGGTTTAACTTTCTTTTTCTTGGTGACAGGATAATGTTGGTTGATTATTTATGACGCGGTCACGTGGAGATACCACATAGGCATGCTTGTTTATGTCGCCATACCATCCAAGCAAAATCATTTTGAAGACTGCAGGAGTCCATTTAGACGGTTTAAAATAGCTTAGGTTAGGATCAACAACAAAGTCTTTAAGTCCCCAACAAGTTAGATAGACTAGAGTTAAAACTCAAGAGAAACAATCAAAGTTCGACCACGTGAATAGCTGTTTCAAGCACTCATATCTAAGGCTAAGTTTTTGGGTATATTCCATCCTTTCAAGTCTCATTTTATTGTCTCTACCTAAGTCAACTTCGGTCTTCCTCTCGCCTCTCTTCACATTACTATCCCTGGTTTAGGATTCCACTACGCACAGGTGTGTCTCGGAGGTCTCCGTTGGACATGTCAAACCATATCAACCGGTGTTGGACAAGCTTTTTCTTTAATTGGTGCTATACCTAATCTATCACGTATATCATCGTTCGAACTCGATCCCTTCTTGTATGACCGCAAATCCAACGCCAACATACGCATTTTAGCGACACTTATCTGTTGAACATGTATATCTTTTCAGTGAAGCCAACATTCTGCACCATACAGCGTATGCGTTGGTCTAATCGCCGTCCTATAAAATTTGCCTTTTAACTTCTGTGGTACCCTTTTGTCACCTATGACACCAGATACTTGACGCCACTTCATCCACCCTGCTTTGATTCTATGGCGCCACTTCTATAGCTTAGGTTAGGATGATACTTAAATTTTGTAGTTTATTATCCATGACACTGAAGGTTACAAAAAATATCCCATTAATATTTAGATGACACTACAAGAAAACTTTAAACCGGTTTCTGTGTTTGTCGAACTGATCCTAAATCGGTTACCATTGCTAAGATTGTAACTCATTCTCACTGATTCTAAATCTACTACCATTGCTAAGATTGTAACTTGTTCACATGAATCGTGAAAAAAAAAGTTCACATAACAATTCAAGTTTACAAGAAAAAAAAATACAGGATTCAGAAAACTTTTTTGCATTTCAAAGGAGGCCTTAGTCTTTTCATTCTTGTACAGCCTGGCCTGGCCTCTGGCCACACTAGTGTACACAGTACCGGGTTGAATGATCGAGTTAATTAAAGAATAAAAAAAGAGCAAACATGCGTTTCGTATTTCTTTTCTGAAATTCAATAAGCAAATGCATTCATGTCCGCACCTTCTATTTGATTTTGACATTTTTTGGATGCCGGCACATTTACAAAACCCACCTTAAATCCTGGGCTATTAGAAAATGTGCCCAGGCTTCTTTCCTCCCAAATCCTCTCCTGCTTTCTCACACACGGACACAGGCCCCACTGCAAGTGTTTAGAAATGGGTTAATTGGATCTATGCCATTATAATTTTTTAGTTTCGAGGAGCATAATTACTATTTGCCTATTTGGAAACATGCCATTACAATTCTTCGTTTTCCATAAAAATACCACTTGAATATGTATGGACCACGGCTGGGCCCAGTGCTAGCGATAATGAAGACGTATACTTCATCTCCTCATCCATCGACATCACTGGCCCCATATGTCATCTTCCTCTTCCTCATCTCTCTCTCGGCTCTCTCTCTCTCTCCATCCCGGACGCGGCCTGGGTATAAGGCGCTACCCATGTGGCCAGGCATGAGCTTTTGGCCAAGCCGACGCCCACTGTCGTGTGACGCCAGCACTGGCCTGCCTGGCCTTCCCCGGTGGCGGCTCCTCCTCCATGGCTGGCCGTCCGGACCTCCTCCTCCATGGATACGGCAGCGCGGTCCCATCCTCGTCCCCCACGAGCTCCAGTGCTCCTGGCCTTTCCCGCCCCTCAACCCCAGTATGCTAACTTTTCGCCCGCTTGTTTCTTCCCATGGCCGCTTCTTCAGCGTTGCACTCACCGTGGTCGTATAATGGCGTATAATGGCGGGCTATCGTGAGAGAGAGAGAGATGAGAGAGAGAGAGAGAGCGAAGAGGAGGCGCCATGGGCCGATGGAAGCAGCGGAAGGGCGCAAGATGGCTTGTCTTGAGGAGATCGGCGAGCTCGGGTCGACCCCGGCAATGGCGGCAGTGGTGCTTGGTGGAGGCGTATTTGGAGCAAGAAGGGCTTGTCTTTGCTGCTTTGCTTTGCTCAGCGGCTTGAGATGCCCATCTCCCCGAAGGCGACCATCACCTCCTCCCCGAGGTGAGCTCCTCGAAGCTCTCGGTGGCCTCGACCCTCTTCCCTTCCCCCTGCTGCAGAGCTTCTCTCCATGACCCTCGAGTGAACCTCGGGATGCCGAGGGACGAGGCGTCCTTGAGGTGGCGGAGGAGCTCGTGCCACGGAGGAGAGCGGGAGTGGAGGTGGGGCCGAGGTGGGGGTGGCGGTGGAGAAGGGGCCTTGAAGGAGGCGGAGCCGGAAGGGACTCAAGGAGAGGAGGAGGCGGTGACGCAGTGGCGGCCGTGGCGCCGGCCATCGCCATGGGCAACCAGCGGCGGCTGGTGCTCGGGATGGAGAGAGAACCGGAGAGATTCGGAGAAGAGGAGGAAGAAGATGACATGTGGGGCGGCGTGTCGCTGATGTGGGAGATGAAGATATACGTCTTCGATATCGCCGCACCGGAGACCAGACTATGTCCATACGTGATTGATGGCATTTTGTGGAAACCAAAAAATTATAATAGCATGCTTTCAAATAGATGAATAGTAAAGGCGTTCTTGAAAGCGAAAAAATTATAATGGCATAGATCCGATTAACCTCTAGAAATCCCCAAATCTGAGTAAGGCCCCCGCCGGCTAGCGCCGTCGCCGTCGACGCCGACCCTCTCCTGCTGCTCACACACGGCCACAGGCCACACGGCGACACCGACCGTTGCCCTCACTGCGAGTGGCGAGACTAATCCCCCCATCTGAGCAAGGTCCCCGCCGGCTAGCGCCGCCGCCGTCAACGCCGACCCTCTCCGGCAGCCGGTACGTTCCCTGTTCACCGCATTTCCCACTCCCTGCCTCTCGTGCGCATCCATCCCTAACCTCACCTTCCCAACTCGCAGCTCGCGGCGCGTCCCTTCTCCGCTCCCGGCGGCATGGACTGCGCAAAGGGGAGGGCGGTGGCGGGCCTCCACGACGACCTGATGGTGGAGATCCTCTCGCGCGTGCCCGTCAAGGACCTCCACCGGTCCACGTGCGTGTCCAAACCCTGGCGCGACCTCATCACCGACCCCCTCCACCGCAAGAAGCTGCCCCAGACCCTGGAAGGCTTCTTCCACGGCAGCGCCGGCGGGCGTCACAGCTATGGGCAGTTCACCAGCCTGTCGGGAAGGGGAGAATCTTCTCCTCCAGTCGACCCGTCCTTCTCCTTCCTCACGGCGAAGCTACCTGGGGTTGAGCGTATGGTCCTCTTGGATTCCTGCAATGGGCTCCTGCTCTTTGGGTGCCGCCGGGAGGACAGGTTCGGGTACATCGTGTGCAACCCTGCGACCGAGGAACTGGTGACTGTGCCCGCCAGCTCTGCCTCTTGTCCGCGTCCGCCTCCACTGGAGGAGG